AACATTCTTTCTGCAGCTAGGGAAATGTTATGATACCATAAAGACATTGATATAATCAAAACTTTAGTGTACGTTGAAGTTTATTTGTTTTGTTTTTTCTTGCATTTTTCTCATACCTACATAATATGTGAACAAACCGACGACTCACAAATAACGTCCATCATATTACCTTGACCTTTGCTCCTACATAAAGCACATTTGACCCTTCAGGTAGTATGTTTTTCGGCATATAGGTGAAACTGTACATTGTATCCCATGGTTAACTTGTTTACAGGGTATATAAATGACGTTACACCTGTATACCTCACAAGTAACTTATTTTTCTGAACATGTAGCCCATGATGTACCGTTGATCCGACATGTAGCTTGAACGTTCTATCTATGAGTTGGTTTCTTTTGAGTGAATGAATTGTTAGTTAAAAACACGATATTTTTCGTATACCCTGGATGCTATTTTCTGTAAAATATCAAAATAAAGCTAATAATCTTTAGTTTTTTTATGTATAATAGCTTAAAACTTCCAATTATTACTCATATATTCAGATGAAATATTCCAACGAAACAGTTATTAGCATAATTTTCTACTCGACTAGTTTTAGGCTTACAAAACCACACACATGCATATAAATCATCACAAAAATTCTACTACCAAGAGAAAAACTTTTAGCAAAATTACGCTTAGTTTGAATTGCTTTATTCCGTTTTAACCGATCTGTGCTGAACATGTAAATAAACACTGCGAATATTTATCAAAAAATGTTTTTCTTATAGTTTTTAAATGTTAAGTATTAAAGTTTAATGGATGAAAACAAAATGTAAGTAGATTAGCACAACTTTTGAAACATATCAAATGAATGTAATAGGTAATTATGATGGAATAAATAAGTTTTAAATCTTAAAGAGTTGAGAAAGAGAAAATACGATTAGAATTTGAGATTTTTATTTTTAGTAAATACTTTTTGAATTGACTCAAGTTTCATATATGCATAATAACAATTATTTCAATGGATTTGACATAGAATTTTAGAACAATTATGAACATGCACGCAAATGCCTCCGCGTGTGGTCATTACATTCATTTCTATCTACACACAAATAAGGTTCAATATATGATTCGCAGTTGTATGACAGTTTATGTTTTAATACGCTACAGAATGCAAGTAGGTCGGATATATGTTAACTCAATCGGCTTAGTAGCAGAGCGTTAACAGCAATAGGCTAAATTCACAACTAAAGGAATCTGGGCGTAAAAACATATACAGACGTCACACGTATGTCATGCAGATCTTATTTGCTTGCTTTTTTATTGAATATTCGTGCTAATTCTTATTTGTTTGTTTTTTATAGAATATTCGCGCCAAACTACTCAAAGGCTATCTACACATAGCCTTACCTATTTTCAACCTGACAGACTAGAGGGAAGCACCTATAGTCAAGAGCACCGCTGCCAATTCTTGTCAGACCGAATTATGAGATTTGACCATCACTCTTACAAATGTACCCAAAGTGCAAGACACGTATTTTCGGCAAAGGGACTCGGTCGCATATTCAGTCTTATTTCTATTGTTTAATATATGTACTTAACGCTTAGACTGACATTCTGTTTGTGTTCGCTTTGTGCTTGTTACCGGGCTGTTACGTCAAACCTTTAGGCTAAATAACGCCACAGGTGTTCGGTATTCAAGTGTTCGTTCGATAGACTTATTATGGTTAAAGTATACGTTCTATTTTTATGATAGCTGCGAAGCCCATCTCAGCTTTACTAAGTGTAAGTCACTAAAATTATCTAAGTGGCCAAGTGTTAACGGGTTCGGTGTTAAAGACTCTGAACACACCCCGCACTTTAACCTGTGGGCGCGTTATAAAAGCGACACTCGATCGCGTTATTCGATTTAAAAAAACCCTTATGATGGCGGATTCTGCTTCTTGGCCGCCTTATGCTCCTCTGGCAAGCAGTTCAAAATTATGGACGGCAATATATCTAAGCCCTATAAGGATTTGTGACGTAACTGCTTAGCCTACGTGCATATTGGTACTGTTCATTTTGGTTTCTCTCTCTTTTTTTTTTTCATTTGTTCTTGTCAACTGATTTAGTACACCAAGTGTTCGACTAGAACAAGCAGACAAACTGAATTTCTACTGCCTTTCAGGGGCGTATTAGGGTTAACTGGCGCTCTAGGCCCACAAGTTTAGATGTGCCCTTTCCTTCTCGAATGACTCACCAGGAAAATTATTCATCAAAGAACAACAGTAAATTAAAATGCAATAAAACTGATGGAAATTTGCTTATATTATAAACAAAAATTAAATTAAACTTATTTTTCATTATTTTCTTTTTCCTGAGATGCGCCTCTCAAACTTCTGCAGTCTAAGCCTAAGCCTTGAAAGCCTATTGGTTAATAGCCTTCTTATGTGAATTTTAAGTGCAAAAACTGATTCTGATGTTAGCTATACCAAAATCTATAGGCATATTTGGTCATTTCCGGTTAAGGTAACAAAATACAATTAACAAAGCGAAGCCACTAAAATGTTTTTGAAACTCAGTCATAATAAACCAGAAAATAAAAATTCCATGATTTTGTCGTGATGATGTCATTTAAGTGACATTTCCCTCTGATAAGATCTTATATTTTTCTTTTACGAGTTTTCGATGTCATATCTCTCTAATTCTCCATGTACGTTTTGAACCGGTACTCAACGGTACATGGCTCTATATAAACTGACCAATGGCTTTATTACTATACTAACAAACAATATTTACATAATGAACTGAAACATTCAACTGTTGTTTTGTGTATTTCATTGAAATTATTCTAGTATGTAACTAGGTTATTGGTTAATGTCTTTCGCTCCTGGTATATCAGGCCAAATGACTACTAGATCTGATGGCACTTTGTGAAGTTACTCTTACAGTTGTTTATTTCGTTAGAGTTTAAGGTAATGGAGTACTAAATATGAAAGTTTCACTTCATTATTAATGAATCGAAATGTATCATGAAAGAGAAAATCAGAAGAGATGAAACGCAACAAGCATTGTAACTAAATATACTTGATTACATAAAATAGGCTAGACGTTAAGAATTGGTCAACCAAAGGAATAAAAAGAACACATGCGCCCGAAAATGAACATGTTAAGACATGCAAACCACATTCTAGGAACAGGGTGTACATCTAGATTTATATTTTCTAGGAACAGGGTGTACATCTAGATTTATACTTTTCAGGAACAGGGTGTACATCTAGATTTATACTTTTCAGGAACAGGGTGTACATCTAGATTTATACTTTTCAGGAACAGGGTGTACATCTAGATTTATACTTTTCAGGAACAGTGTGTACATCTATATTTATATTTTCTAGGAACAGGGTGTACATATAGATTTAGACTTTTCAGGAACAGGGTGTACATCTAGATTTATACTTTTTAGGAACAGGGAGTGCATCTAGATTCCAAAGTTCCGTTATTTAGAAGCAGAGCACAAATGTTAAATATTCAATAAACACTAGGTATGCAGCCTAAAACTCTGGAATGTACAGAAACAAGCATGTCATATATATATATATATATATATATGCATAAACATTTCAACAACTGGGAATCGGTCATTCGTAGATATTTGAAGATTTCAAGTTAAAAGCGCATTCTGATGTATAAAAAGGTGTGCAGACCTTAGCATACCAAAATATAAAACAAGGTTTTATACTGTATAAAGTACCATTCTAAGGTATAAATACAGAATATTTATGTACAATTGAACATGCTGACGTATAAATACGGAGTATATACGTACAATTGAACATGCTGACGCAGAAATACGGAGTATGTATGTACAATTGAACTTACTGACGTATAAATACGGAGTATGTATGTACAATTGAACATGCTGACGTATAAATACGGAGTATGTACGTACAATTGAACATGCTGACGTATAAATACGGAGTATATACGTACAATTGAACATGCTGACGCAGAAATACGGAGTATGTATGTAAAATTGAACTTGCCATCTAAGACAAATAGGTTGTACATATATAAATGAGCATGTGTAGGATTAAATATCTCAAAATTTAAATAAAATAGCATTGATTAGAAAGGTAAATATACTAATTATGTACATGTATATAGTGTATATATAAATACATGTTTCTGTAGAGGTATAGGTACTTGTTTCACAAGCAAAGTAATCGCTTCCGGTTGAAGAAAAATCTGACAAAAGAAGAACATAAAAGCTTTTGTCATGTTGAAGAAACTGTATAAACAAAATGTGATGTCACTTCCGTTTAGAAGTTGACAAACACGAATATACACACACATACTGATGTTCGGTTCTTCCTGTACGTGAACAGAATGAGTTTAATAAATCTAGTGAAAAGCGCCCCCAGGAGTATTTAAAGGAAAAATCTTAATAAAATGTCAGAAATCGTTGTACGAGGGAGGGAAAAGTTATTTCAACACTTAGGCATGTGTAGCTGTATGATTATAACACATTGTAGGATACATTTATTAGTGTTCTTTCTAATTTACGAAAGTATCTCTTGAAAAGAAGAAACAATAAGTATTCTAAGGCTATTCTTTCTTTCTTTTTAACTTTATTTTAAATCGTGTAAAACAAAATATTCTAGTTATCTATCTAGTGGAACTTAAGTTCCAGAGAAACACCTTCTCCCGATACGTATGGAGATTTACAATGAAACGCACGCGTACTCATTAAGGTAAGGTTTATTTGATGTTCTCAGTGTGCAAACCCCACCGGTTTAAACAACTCTCACGGCTGTGTGACGTTCGAACAACCTGGCTCAGGCTCTTGTAATGCTAGATTAACTCTTGGTACTGCCGGGAAAATAAACTGCCAACGTCAGGTAGAAGTTAAGTACTACTGCTCATTCATTGGATAATAGTTAGAAGTCACGTGGCAAAAGATCCAGCTACCTCGCCGAGCACGTGCAGAATACACCACTAGGAAACCGCTACTTGAAGTAGTCGAATGTTGCTTTTAAGAACATTTCGTCACGTGTGTGGATCTTAGTGCCGATTGTTTCACTCATATATTGTGAGTGTGGCGAGAGACAAATAAGTAATTATTGGTTAACTGCTTGTGGGAACCTCTGGTTCATTCAGTAATTTATCACAAGTTTTTGTGGAACAGAACAAAGAGTTGGTTTTGTGGTGCTGATTAACTTGTATTGGCCTAAAATTTGCTTGAAGCATTCATCTACCGAGTAAGGTAACGTACCTAAATCTTTGTTAAGTGATAAAACTACGCAAGTGCTACATTGGCGGCCACGTGCGAGCGTTCTTAACCCGAGATCGAAGATGCTTCGTGTCAACTGGCAACGACTGGTCCCGTTGAGAACAGCATGAGAGACCTGTCTTCTCTGTCTATTACGTTTATCTGTAAATACAGACAGTTCAGTGTTAGTATTAAACCCTTCAAACTGTCTGATCGAGCCCTGTGTGTGCGGGCTGTGACGAAGGTTGAAAACGGTCTTGTCCTCAGGTGAAGCTCCCGTAGCTGCGACACGGGAGAGAGATCTCCATGTTTTCTAGGTAGCGCCACATGTTTATAACCAAGTAAGTTGTCTTAGTGACGTAGAAAGTGGCTTAGAATTATTATACAAGTGTTTAAAGACATCTTCATATAAGCATATTAAACAATATGACAGTCAATACTAAATGGCACTGCTGTAGACGTAAGGATAACGGAATACTTCTATTTTTTTTTCATCTTTCAAATACGGCAAACAAAGATTTGACACCACAGTATGTTAAAAGCTGAAAATACAAAGAAATCGCTTAGAGCCAGTGCTTGATGTCAACGTTTTAATGAAATGTTTGTTAGTTAAGCGCAAAGGTACAAAGCGCAAAGGTATACTGTTCTCCTCGTTGGTATCGAAACCATATTTTTAACGTTACAAGTCCCCATACGCTGAACCATTTGGAGGGTTTGGTTAAATGATCTTTATCTGTTCCTCATTTTAAATATTCGTGATTTATCACTGTTCTTTCTCTGAACGGAATATATATATATATATATCATATTGATGCAAGGGCGCCAGCAAGAAAAAAAATTAGGGGGGATCAAGTAATTCAAGTTTGAAAAATTATGAAATCAAAATACAATTACCTTATGATTTTCCAATAACATAGAAGAAGAATTTTACACATCTAGTATTATTTTTTTCCTTTTTGAAATACCAGGGGGGGGGGGTGATCAAGTAACTTCCATTGCCCCTTCCTGCGGGCGCCCATGTTTTGATGTATTCAATTTCCAGGTATATTTGAAATTTAACGTGTGCTGAGAAAATATTTTCTTTATTTCAGCACCAATAGATGTGTTTTTTATTATGGTTTCGTATGTACATCTTAATACTGACAGATATTTCTCGTTACATGATGTCTCCATATTTTAAAACAGTACAAGGAAAACAAATTTCGTGTCCACAGTACTTAAATTTGCGCCGCTTCCGATAGTCTAGAAAGCACAAGTACATAAGAACTTTATAAGCAAGGTTCAAGCTGCGGTCGAGTGTTTCGCTTATCGTTGCTTACGTTTCTGACAGTTTTTAGATTAGGTTTCGTGTTGTTTGGTTTCACTAGGTGTTGTGTTCAATGATGAAATCCTTTGTATTTAAACTTTCGTCACAAAATATCTGTATGCAGATTAAGAATATCCAAAAGTCAAATTTTTAATGATCTACAAATTGCGAAATTGACATTGATTAATTTCCTTTTTAATATCTAACCTAAAAGCATACATTTTGTACAAAATTATTGGTTCATCTACGTGTTGTTGTTTTTTTTTTGTGTGTGTATTTCATATACAAATAACATCTACGTTTCTGAGGAAAACTATATATTTGCGGAAGGAAGCTTTCATGACTATTTCCGCATACTGTTGCGCATGGCCATTACAATATCAAGCGTCTGTAATCATTTAACACTTAGATCTTGGAACGGCAAGGCTCTTAACCATAGTATAGTTGGTTGATGATAGCATGTATGCGCGTTATAATTATTGTTTTGCGAAGAATTTTATATTTCTTTTGAAATGAATGTTACAAACATTTTTCATTGTTGAGGCTTAATGGCCGGATGTAATTCTGGTTCGAGCTCTATAGCTCTAGATGTTTCTCTAACACGTATTCCACTCAACAAACGTCCGGTCATCGGTGGATGCTAAGAAAATTATAGAAATCCTTGGTAGGCCACCAGCCGTGAGTTTCTGTGCGGTCAGTGTGTCCCAGGGAGCTTTGTCCCAACCACCAGGCAAAGGTGAAAAGCTGAGTTGGGCCATTCACCTAATGCCGGCTTTTCCTGAGCGTTCCAATGTGTTTAAAAACGACTTTTCAAAAGTTCACTTAGTTTGTCCTGGTATGTGGTAGAGAATATTGTATTCTCTGTTCTTACTTTTCCTGATATTTCCAAGCAGGCCCCGAGGGTCTTGTTAACACTGAGCGTGTTAGAGCAGATTATGTGTTAACTGGGACAGGAGATAATACAGAAATCCGCAATTAAGAGATCATTTACTGCCACTATTACTTTCTCATCCTTTGTACACTGCACCTTAGGCTAGACATTATAAACCTTCTGAAACCAGCAGCAGTGGCTCACTCGAGCCGACACCGTAAAGGTCACAACAAAATGCCTAATAACCCTCTTCCAGCAAGTATGCTTTCTCTTGTCCACTGTCCAAACTTCTCACCTGGGGTCGACGGATTAGGTCGAGATGGCCTGCGAGTCTTTCAAGGAGGGTTGAAGGAGCTCTCTGAAGTCACGGCATGGTTCCTTTAAGGGCGGCTCTTGGCTCTGGTAAGTTGTTAAATCTTTACATCGTGGGGAAAGTACTTTCAGAAAAGGTTTTCTGTCCTAGTAAGGCGTTTCCTAGCCTAACCCCAGTGTCTTCGACAGTTCACAGAGAAGTAGGTGGATCGCACAACCATTCTGGGAAGAAAGCGAAGAAAAGCTTCCGTTTCTAAATTTTTGAGGTATTCCTGTTTTGTAGGTTTCCTTTCCTAAGACGTTCAGTACTATCCGTTCAGTACTATCCAGAAAGAAAGATCCTGGCACTGCGAAATTTACCGAATTTTTTTTTTCTAATGTTTTCAATAGAAATCAAAGCGTTCTACGAGAAACATTAACTGATGAGATTACGTATACACTTTATAATGATTGTTTCATGAAGGATTTTATACTTCTTTTGGAACGAATGGCACAAACACTTCTTCTTGTTGAGGCTTGATGGGCGAATGTAATTCAGACTCAATCTAAATATTTCGCTAACATTCATTCCACTCAACCAACGTTGCTGACGTTTCTGTCAGTTTTTGTATTAGGCTTCTCCTTGTGTTCAATAGTGAAATCCTTTGTGTTTAAACCGTCGTCATAAAATATCGCATGGCCAGGTG